AAACTGAAGTGAGAAATGGGGTTGACACAATGATTGAAGATCCTAGTTGGGTGCCACTCCTAAAAGGTAAGAAACCTAACCTGCTGCCTATAGCCAGAGGACATCTCATCTGGGTGAAAGACCTTTTTGATGACAGCTACACGGGTTGGAATAGCTGGTTGGTTAGTCAAGTGTTCAATGAGACAGATAGTGCAGCCATCTTAAACATTTCCACCATCAACCCTAATAGGCCTGACAGGAGTTTCTGGTGCTTGAACAATAAAGGCCTTTTCACACTATCCTCTATTTATTCTGATTTGATTCTGAGTAAGGTTCAAGAACTTGACATTCCTGAAAGTAGCACTACATCAAAGGCCACCAAAGCAGCTAGAAACTTGACTTGGAAAATGAGGATTAGCAGCAAAATCAAGCAGCTCCTGTGGAAGTGTTGCTCAGGAACTCTACCAGTCAAAACTGCCTTGTATGTAAAAGGCCTGGACATTGATGTTTGCTGCCAAAACTGTGGAGAGGAACCAGAGACAGTGGAACATGTCTTCTTTTACTGTCCAAAAGCTGCAAGACTGTGGGATATCAGCCCCATCCAATGGGATAGCCTCAAAGAACCAAATCTTCATTTCAGCTCCTGGTGGAGACATATTTGCTCGAGCAACAAATGTGAGGTGGCAGAAGAAAGGATCCAACTTACTACCTATATGCTCTGGTGGTTGTGGCGATCCCGAAATCTCTAGCTGTTTGAAGGCTCTTACCTTTCTCCTCAACTCATTCTCCGCAGCGCTTTGAGGGAATGGCTTGAGTTTTCTTCATTATGAATTTTTCTGTTTTGTTGGCTTTAGTAGTTTCTTCAGTGTTAGTTAGTTGTTTGGGCAGGGAATCTAAACTAGGCTTTTCGCAGTGGTTTAGTTTTCTTTGCTCTTGTTTATATTTCTGTCGTGTGGCTTCTGTTGTTGTCCGAGTGGGACGTCTAGGCCGCTTGCATGCGTGTCCTCCCATGTTTCTAGTTTTATTTGTTTTGTATTCGAACGTTGTTCTCGTTTCCTAGTTTATACATCTCCTATCGTTTCGACCAAAAAAAAAAATCCCTAATAAGATACTTATAGCTCTTTAAAGTTTGATATGTTAAAGTAGAGAATTTCATTGATTGTAAATTTATAATATTATTTTTCTATATCAGATATGGAGAGATATTTTCCAAAAAGACCCCGCCAACAAAGTATTTGTGAAAATGTCTCAAAGGGAGATACTTTGAATTCAAATAGATTGGAGGAAAATACGACCGGAAGTTTAATGATGATCAATGAGTTCGATTATTCTCAACTTTCCTCTGATCCTGGATTGAGAATTCCAATCTTACGGTATAGTCCAAATATTAGAGACCAAGTTCGAAGAGCATATTTGCAGAAAGGTCCTTGTTAACCGTTTGATCACCATTTTTCCATGAAGGAAGCCTCAACTTCATCAACAAAGGCTAGAAGATTTATTCCTGGTTGGTTTACAGATCATGAGTGGTTGGAGTATAGCATTTCTAAAGATGCTGCATATTGTCTCTATTGTTATCTTTTTAAACCAAATAGAGGAAAACAATCAGGAGGAGAAACATTTGTTACAGAGGGGTTCAGGTCATGGAAAGAAAAATCGAGACTTGATGTTCTGAAGTTGAAGTTTTTAACCGGAGTAGAATCAAAGGATTCGAACACCGGGTCGTGTTCTCAAGGAAGGTTAGCCGGATACAAACGCACGATATTCAATCACACGAGAATGTAAATACACCTAAACACTCTAATCCGATTTATCGAGGGTTTTTGTTATCGACAATAAAATAAATTACTAACGAGTACAACACAAAGAAAAGAAAAATAACAAAGTTCAACACAAGTGCGATTCAACAATTTTGAACGAGCTAGGGTATCGGGGATAATCGTCTCCGGTTCAATTTCACTTCAATGAATCATAGGTACTCGGTTAAAAGCCTCGACTCATAAACTCACTTAACGTTATAATCATCATAGCATTTCGCGGTAGATAAATCAAACATAAACGAGCAATCAATCTAAACAATCAACACATAGACAACACGTCTCCGGTTATGCCTACTCTAAACGAGCCAAATTCCACCGACTTCTCCCCTCTCGGTTTTGAAGTCGATTAACTAGATTGCAATGGTGATCAAGCATTCAATCATTATTATTAATAAAACTCGAAAAGATTGAGTAAATCACAAACATATCAACGAGATTATACCGGAACAATCATCCCCTTCCCCTAGCAATTACTTAGCTACTCATGGCAAGATAAACACAAGAAATCAATTCAATGTAAGCATTCATCTCCATAATAAAATGAAAGGAAAAACTTACTAGAAATTGAATTCAATGTCTTACAACTTCAATCCAATAACAATGCCAAAAAGTCTCCAAGATTGTCTCCTCAAAACATACATTAACACATGAAAGCTTGAAATGAAAAACAAGGTGAACCACTAGAAAAATGTAGAGAGAGTGTAGAGAGAAGATGGAGAAGAAGATGATGGAGAATGGTGAAGATGATGGATTGTGAATAGTCCAAGTCCCAAAACACCTTGGGAGCTTCCAAAGGGACCAAGAAAACATGTCTTTTCCCTTTCCCTATGGTTTTTCTTCCATTAGCCACAAGATTCCCGGGTTTAAGCGCACTAGATGTCCCCTACAAAAAAACTGGAATTTTAATATCTCGCGGCCGCGACTTGCTATCTCGCGGCCGCGACTTGGTGCTCCGCGGCCGCGACTTGGTGCTCCGCGGCCGCGACTTCGTCCCGCGGCCGCGAGATTTCAGGGCAGAAGTGAGGAGCCGACTATTGCTGTTTGTTCGCCGCGGCCGCGGCGAAGGAAATCCCGCGGCCGCGACCTGACCTTCCGCGGCCGCGACTTGGTCCCGCGGCCGCGACTTTGTGCTGCAGTCCCAGATTTTCTCCCTTGTGTTTTTGGTCCCGTTTTTCACTTTCTTGTCCCGATTTCAGCTTCCTCGCACGAACACTAACTCCTTCCACCCAAAAGTCAAGCAACCCATCGAACCTACGCACCACAATACACAAGAAAAACACGAAGAAAGAGAAAAACAAACGGGAAAACAAACCAAACAACGAACAAACCAAAAACTAACGAAACGGACTCAACACTAAAGAAACATACCTAAAAGATGGAAGAATAAACATAAAATGACTAAGGAAAACACAACAAAAATGGAACGAACAACTCCCCCACACTAAGACCTTTGTTCGTCCCGAACAAAGAGAAACAAAAAGAAAGAAAATAAGAACATCCAACATGTATCAAGGTTCAAACAACACAAGCATCAAATCGCTCAATCAAGTTGAGTAGAATTCCGATGATCTCGAGAACATCTCTCAAATGATAACTCGGCATTTTGACTGATAGACACTCAAAAATGGATATATGATCAATGAGCCTCACTCAAGTATCTTGCAATTAACAAAGGAGAAGGTGCACTCAAATTGGTCGCAATCCAATCAATCATATGCTTGCCTATCGTCTAATTTTTACTCTAGAACAATTTAATCGCGAATAAGTGAATCAAGAGGATTTAAGGGATATATTGAAGGCTCTTTGGATCAGGTGGGGATAATATAGGCCAAGTGACTACACATATATATATATCAACTCTAAACATCACCAAACCGTAAACATGAGCTCTACCGGTTATCACTCAACCGGTTCTGCCTACATCCTCCAAGACTACCATTTATCCACATTATTCACACTTTTTTTTTTGTGTGAAAACCTTTGGACAATTATTATCTAGGTTTAACCGTCGGGTGGTCTACCCGAGTTTCCTAGACCGGTTTCCCGTACTCATTACTCGAGACCACTACGTTAATAGTCCGAGCACTTGGAGTATAATCCATTTGGTTTCACCCTTTTTTTTTATCATATATACAACTCAAATAATCATCCCTCCATCAATCCGACTCACAACTCCACAATATCATCATTACGGGGTTGTCAAGAAAATCATATAAAGGCTCAAAGGGGCGACTAGTGAGTGTTATTCAAGAGAAACAAATGGGGATAGAAAAACAATGAATGCCTCTATCATATTTACCATTCACAACCAAATTGAACTATTTCGAATCAATCTCAAGGCAAGTTCTAACATCATAAGATCTCGACCAATATCACACAAATGGGCTCAAATCTCACGGGTATATATATATAGATATCAGTCAAAATAACCAAGCAATCACCAAGATAAGTTACACAAGATCATCATCACAACTTCTCATACTTAATCAAACAATCGTCAACAAACCTTGCAATCCCCAAGGTACATGCTCGAAACATACAAAGACTCAACTAGACTAGACGAATCACACAAACAAAACAAGCAAAGCTCCCCCACACTAAAAATCGGACAATGTCCTCATTGTCAAATTTGTAGAACGAGAGAAAAGCAACACAATAATACAAGAGACAAAAGAAGAACAAACTGACTCAATATCCACGAAAAATAAAATAAAAGAGAGAAAAGGGAAAGAAAAACGTACAAAGCATAGTGACAAGTCACTATGCATGTGGTGGTGGCGGAGGGGGGTAGGGGTAGCTGCCCGGCCCCTGATGTGGGTCCCACTGGGTGAACATACGATCCCAGCTATCCATACGAGCATCCTGCTGGTCCTGGCGCTCGCGAATGGATCGAAGGCCGCCATCAATGTCATCAAAGCGTGTGCTCGTCTGGGTCCAGTGGGTCTGCTGCCGAGTCTACCACTGGTCCCACTGGGTCGTCTGCTGGGTCTGCCAGTGGTCCCACTGCTCCTTTTGTCGGCTCTCAAAAGTGGCAAACCGACTGTCCTGGGCATCGAATCGGTCATGAATGGAACGAATATCCGCCCGGTACTCGGTCTGGAAAGACGTCCACCATGCTGGTGGGTGCGATGGAGGCATCTCGTGCTGCGGGTCCGGGGCTGGGGTCCAGTTGGATGGAGGCGGTAGAAGATGGTTGTCATCCACAAGCATCCTCTCATGCTCGTCCGTCTCAGTCGGCTGGCGGGACGAGCCAGGTCGATCGGTAGTGGGGGCACTTTGCCCAAGCCGCTGAAAGTAGGACGTATAAGCATGACGGCTCGTATACGGCTGAACTGTGGTCCGGGTCTTGATGAGATCGGCATTTTTGAGCTCGGCGAAGTTGATGCATCGCATCGTAGACTTGTCCTCGTGATATACGACGTCGTGAAGATTGTAGGGCTCAGGGTCGACGCCGAAATGCCGGGCGAGTGCGGTAACAAGGTGTCCCAATGCCGGCACCCCACGTCGATTGAGTGCGACGTCCTCTAATGAGTTCTGGAGGAAAGTCATGGAGCATACTCGCACTCCCGCCCGCATCGCCCAGAGGAGGAAAAGCTCGGTTTCGCTTATCTTGTTCGCCTCCTTCTTCCCGGTAATATTGTAGCCAATGAACCGGTGCACCACAGCCGTAGCCAAATCCTGGATGAGCCCATTCGACATCCCGCCGGAATCCCATTTTGTATGTGGGGAAAGCTCGGCCCAACACGCCTTAGCATCGAAATCCGGGGCCTTATTACGGGTACCGTCCAAGGTGAAACCGCACACCTTCTTCATGACGTCGTCGTCTACCGTGTACTCCTGCCCCTTGAGCCGACAAGTAAAGAACACGTTCCCATCGGCGAGAACAAAGGAGCTGAAAAACTTGAGCATGAGGCTACGGAAGGAGGGCTCCTTGATCTTGGCGTACTCGGTGAGGTTAAGGACCGTGAGATACTTCATCACGTCCTCCAAAATACCCAAGTCGTTCAAGAGGTCCCAATCGATCGCTTTCGGTCTCACAACCTCCTTTTGCGAGAGACGGGCATAAATCTCGCCTTCCTTCCGGGAATAAATGGGGAAAGGAGCGCCGTATTGGTCCGATAGGTCATGTCGGTCATCATCCGGAGGGGCATCTCGAGCGGAGGACTCGCCCGCTCTGCGCTTCTTGGTCGGTTGTTGAGCGGTTTTCTTTTTGGTGGAACGGAATGGATTCTTACCCATTTGAACGGTCTTTCGGGCAACACGTCGAACACGTGGCGTGCGGAACTTTGAACTAAAGGTTTGTGAACAATTGGCAACGGTTCGATCCCGGAGTTGGCCTCCTCACGCCACAACAATCGACCAAGTGTAGAAGGTAGTAAGGTAACGGTACCTCTTTGCGCAAATTCGAAACCGAAACGAACAATGTCTTCGCGAGCTAGGGTGCGAATGAGGTGGGCTGGAAAAGGAAGGAGACACCGGAGATGATGAATGGTGATGGCGGAACAGCCTGTGGTCGGAGGTCGCCGGAGCAGGTTGGCCGGAGGTGGTCGGAATTTGGTGGTGGAGTCGCGGGTCGGGTCGGAGGTTGGATGTGCTGCGTGGATGGCAAGAGGAGGAAAGAGATGGTGATGCGGTGGTCGGGATATGCGTGAGGTGAGTCGCCGGTGGTGGTCGGAACCGGAGAAAGATGGTCGCCGGCGGATGGTGTAGGAGAGACGGTGGTGATCGACGGCTGCAAACGGTGTGTTGAGGGGAGAATTCACGAAATGATTAGATATAGAACGAAGGGTTCTTTAAATTGGTAGTGTCGCGGCCGCGACCTCATCCCGCGGCCGCGAGTTCTGGGAGCAGAAATGGGGATCTCGATCGACATAATGTCGCGGCCGTGGCGAAGGAATGTCTCGCGGCCGCGACTTTTTTGAGCAGAAATGGACGCCAACTCCTCGAAAAATGATCGCCGCGGCCGCGGCGAGTAAATACCTCGCGGCCGTGACCATGCTCCGCTGCCGCGACTTTATGCTCCGCGGCCGCGACTTGATTTTTACTTTTTTTGTTTTTTTTTGTTTTGTTTGTTTTTTTTTTTTTTTTTTT